TTCCTCTAAACAGTTGGCTGCTCTATTCACGAAAGCTCTTGGGGCACAACAATTTAATTATCTTCTATCCAAGATGGGCATTAGGGACCCCTACGCACCATCTTGAGGGGGTGGGGGTGTTGGCTAGTTATACACGTGTGCATGCTATATTATTTTTCCATACAACAATGTGAAGGCCTTACACTACGTGCACCGGAAGATCTCTATCATTCTCAGGAGTCCGTTATATATTTATTCTATTTTGTTGCAAGTATTAGTTTGTAATTATCTGTTTGTTGTACCTAGAGAATAGGTAGCTAGATATTCTTATCTCTTTGTTGACCGTAGCTATCAAGTGTATATATATTTTACCAAATGTAATTGTGAGGCATCTGAATAATAAAATCAGTTCGTATTCATTAATTTAAGGAAAAATTAATTGTAATAATCCCAACTATTGGCGGTCCGCTTATAATAATCCCAACTATAGATTATCTCAGAATAATCCCAACTTTAGTGACCTTCCGCCAATAATGGTCCATGACCAGATATGACATGCTATAACAAGTGGATTTTAAATAGAAATAAAGTATATAAATTAAAAGTTGAATTATTTATAGGGATTACTTGTTATATCTCTTCTCATCCACTTTAGAAACTATAGGAATTTATTTATAGTCGGTCATGTCGGACTATTATTGGCGGAAGGTCACTAAAGTTGGGATTATTCTGAGATAATCGATAGTTGAGATTATTATAAGTGGACCGCCAAATGTTGGGATTATTACAATCAATTTTTCCTTAATTTAATACATAACAATCATTTATTTTAACATTACAGTGAGTGCTTTAGATGATCTCTCAGAGATTAATTTTGTTGGGAGTGCCACATGTTCATCACTTCATCAGAGATGAAGTCATACAGGAATGGAAGCGATCGACTTTACTTTTATTAGAAAAATAAAAAATGAAAAAGATTGTCACATACTCACATGGAATGAAAAAAATGAAAAGATTGCACAACTGACACATCAATGAGTAGCTGGAGAAATTGTAGGTGCCCGCCTAAATTTCCAAAATGAGTGTTTTTTATACAGTAGAGGGTTTACTTGTTAATTTTTCCTTTTATTTTTAAGAAATTACTCTAGACATGTTTAATACTGTTAGAACATTATTTATTATGTTCAAATTAATTGTAATTATCTTTGATTAATTAGTCTTAGTATTAACAGACTTTTAATTGTTGAGAGAAACAAGATTTTACTTGATTAAGCCCACACGCGCATTACTTGTCCTAATTGTACTAGAATGCTCGCCATCTCTTCTATAAATACAGGCAGAGGTTCGAACATACCTAAGACTCAACACAATGTATTTCACGCCTATTATTCTCGTAAAGCACCTTTAGTTTTCTCTCTCAACAATGAATATGTGTATTATGCGTTATTGCTACATCAATGTGAATATATAGTGTTGATTGTTGATGAATTGTTGTTATTCTACTCAATTTCTTTATATTATTGCATATTAGTTAATCGAGTGATCTGAAATTATCCAACAAATACTCATATGTTTTAGTCCTTTTAATTTTTCCTTTTATACACCAAACTAGAATGGGAGGTGATCGAATTATTTTTACTACCATGCCAAAAATAAACAAAAGTTGATGAAGGCCAAAAAGGTTTAAGATAAAACTAATGATATTGAAAAAAATGGGAGGGGTCAAGGCCCCCCTCATCCCATACATACTCTTCCCCAAGGTTAGTTGACCATCATGTCATTGGCATGGTCAAGTTCTCAAGTCTATGATTAATTTCTTCCTATTTATGTACTATCCTCCGTTCTGTTTTATACTTTTATTTGCAACATGTTGAATTTTACACTATTCACATGCTCTACTTTGACTATGTTATATGTTATTATTTTATGATTTTTTTTTAAAAAAAATATTGTTCAATTCATCTCATTACAAATTTTCAAAATCTGATTTTTAATATTTTTTACTAATTGAATTAAAGATATAATTACGGTCAAAGACGTGCGTTGGCAAATGTGAAATGTTGACCGTTGCAACTAAAAAAGAACGGAAGGAGTATTTGGTTATATATTCGAATCAAGAAATAGAGAGGCCATAATGGAAAGGAAAGGTAAATAAATACAAGTTTGAATTAGAAATTGTAAGTTTAATTTCTTCTTCTCAAGTCTATGATAAATATTATTTCCTCCATCCGTTATCTCACTTTCCTTTTTGAGACATGCTAGCTAAAGGTTTTCATTTTCTTTTTTAAAAAATAACTAACACTCTTAAATCATAATTTAATCATCAAATATTAAAAATGATACGTAGTATTTTCTATAACATGATAGTTATCTTCAATAACTCAATACATTATATACTCATCAAAACTATTTTCAAAACATATACACGAATTAGCATATTTAATTATTTTTTAAACAATCATGTCATTTTGCGATAGAAACCTTTGAACAGGACATAATAGTCATTGTTGAATAAGCTCTTTAATTAGCTAAGTAAAGGATTCTTTCATGACTTGACGGTATATGAGGCAAATAGTGTAAAACAAAAAATAACAAAATTAAATATATTATTAATCGATTTAGTAACCTTTAGTTTCAATTTATTAGTCATATTAGTCAATGTTTTTATTGAACAAGTAATTTTTTATTTCAAGCGTTGAATTGTTTAATAATGAAAATAAATAAAGTTTTTTTTTGGATGTGAAAAAAAGTAAAGTTGATAACTCTGTTTTGACCACCTTTTATATATATAATTTTTCTTTATATCATGAATACAATATGTTTTAAATATAACTTTTTCTTATCTAAAAGCTTTGGCTACCTTTCAAAAAAAAAATGATTCGGCTAATTTTACTAACTTCAATCTTGTTCCAACGAATCGGGCTCTTATATGTATAAAAACTAGACATAGTACCCGTGCGATGCATGGGTGTATCTAGAATAAATAAAAATTTATTTCAAATAAAAAAAAAAAGATTTTCAAGTTTATATGTCATAGCTTTCATTATTATACAATACTATGTAGTAGCAGTGAGAAAATAAAAAGTTGGTTCATATGAAAAATTGCAAGTAAAATTTAAAATAAATGATAGGTTGTAACAATAAACACTACGTGATAATGTCATTAATAATGGTATAATTATTAGTAGGTCTCACAAAACTATAAAACCGAGAAGTCATAAATTTTTATACCTTACAAAAAGTATCATAAATTTTCAAAAACTTCTTTATAGACCATATTATTAGTGGTGTTGATAGCACGATAATGTAGAATTGATCGTGACTAAAAAAGATTTTGAAAGATATATACTCATTTGATGTAGAGATTGTCCGTGACTTTTGTTTATTATTATGAAAAATGAAACTATATATGATTGGAAATTGTCTGCACTGAAATTTGAAATGAATTCTACTATATGACGTGACCAATGATAAACGTGAAATCAAAACCTTTTGACCAATACTTTTAGATAACGGGACCAATGGCGCATGAAATTTTTCGGCAATAAATAAAATAAAACACACAGACCAACATATTTGAAAGTTTCTAAAGAATACAAAGTAGATATGTATTTTTATTGCTAAGATGAATATAGTTCATTCATATACTAAAAACCAAATGCCAATGAGATATTCTTTCCAAATCACTCAAATAATGGACAACATTAGTTCAATAATGTAATTGTTGTGGTTTCAATTAAGCTCAAATTAATAATTCACCACTTTGAATAAAAAAGTGTTATTTCAAAGATAATTAAATTAGGATTGTGATCAACTTTTGCGGTAAAATACAATTATTCACATTTGTAATAAAAATAGTAATTCCTTTCGTCTTCTATAATAATTTGAAGTAATTCAGTTAGAAAAATAACTAGAATCTTATTTATTTGGTCTTTTCATACTCCGTAACTTGTCATAATTGTATCACACGTACACGAACTTTTCATTCAATGCTTCCGGGTCGAATTTTATAGAGATTCAAAATTTTGACAGACATGATTAACAAATATTTTTACCCGATTGTGATAAAATTCTTATACCTGATTTTCAATAGATATTTTCCTTATCAACGATTTGCTTCAATTTGGAAAGAGTGAATTATCTAAATAAGACAAAAAAGTGGTCAAAGTGCACAAATATGACTACATGTTTTTAGTTTCCTCTAATAGGACTATCTATGTGTGTTTAGACAAATATACCCTTGTAGATTTTGAAATGTCTTAATTAATAATAAAATCATAAAAAAATAATAAAAAACGTAAAAAATAATAAAAAGTCAAATATATTAAAAAAATTATAATTTTTTTATAAAATAAAAATTTATTTAAAAAAAAATAAAATAAAAAACGTAAAAATAATGCCGCTACCTTTGCCACCACCGGCTCCCATCACCGGTTGGAAATCTGCCAACATTTTTAGTAATGCCATAATAATGGTAAATTCAATGGGAATTTTGGCATTATGATGATTAATAATGCCATTTTCTTGCACTTTCAGATAAAATGGCATTTTTTTCAAAAAATGCCAGAATTTTCACCGATTGGAGGTGATGGTGCTGGGAGGCGGTGGGAAATGTATCCATATTTTTTTTATGGGTTGTTACTATTTTTTATTAATTTTTTTTTAAAAACAAATTAATTAAAATCTACCAACATTTTTAGTAATGCCATAATAATGACAGATTCAATGATAATTTTGGCATTATGAAGAGTAATGATGCCATTTTGTTGACAATTTCGAGCAAAAATGGAATTTTTATAAAAAAGGGCAGATTTCTTACCGATCAAAGGTGGTGGTGCTGGGAGGCGGTGGGAAAAGTATTCATTTTTATGGATTTTTACTATTTTTATTAACATTTATAAAAATTAAAAAAAAATTAATTTTTATTTTTTTTAAGATTTTATTATGAATTATAACATTTCATTATGAAATAATACGCTTAGGGGCATTTCTGGTAGGAATCAATGTTTAGCCCTATCAATGTGCATTTTAGGGAATTTTTAGTCTTATCAAGAGCAACAACAAATTTGGAAATGGAATTTGTAAATGGAACTATAATATTTTAGTAGGGGCATTCTACTCTAAATGAACTGTCTTTTTCTGTTCAGATTTCAATATTGTTTCCTTGCAGGCCATGCGGCGGACCAATGCACGAGTCGCGATTTTTCTTCTCTGTTTTCGGGATTTGATCGGCACCCTCCCCCTGCGCGCGAAGAGAGCCTTTCTCCTAAGGAATCTTAACTCCTTCTAGGTGGGTTCCCTTTATGAAGGGGTGAAAATCCCATGGGTTTTTCGGTGTGGGATAAATCCCACTAGAAAACACATCATTTTCCCAGTTTTTTCATTTTAACGAGTGAACTTCGAGAATCAATTTATCATTCACCCGTTATCCGTTTTGAGTGTACCACATATCGAATTGTAGCCCTTAACAAGGACAATCCGAAACCACTTTGACCCGACCCAAATCGGAAGTGGACCTCACTCAAAAAATTGCCCCAAAATGACCATTTAATGCAATTTATTAACACTTTTTCAAACAATCCCCCACATGAATGAAAATTGATTTTCGAGACTTGAAAAGACACGAAGATAGGAGGACACGTTGTGTTCACCGGATGATCTCTGCATACGGAGAGGTAGGTTTTATCCTTTGAACCTTCCGCTGTAAAGACATGTTTATTTACTGGCTGTCTAGTAGACTCAATGTCCTTGAACTATACTGTCATCGTGTAAACAGTGGGTGTGCCCGTTTTGGCCATGAGTCACCGTCCTGGTTCTGCAAGAGTTTCTAAAGAACTGAGCCTATACAATTCTCCTTTGAAGCGGCCCTCTTCTCTCTCACATAGGTAATTCTTTCACGAGTATCCCGCATACTCTTCCAATGTTATCGAGTAGATCAACATTTTAGAATCATTAAAGCAAACGTTTTTGCTAACCTCGTGCGGGAGTCACTGTTTCAACGAGGAGTGGGTAGGACCGTAGGAGTGAGGGACCCCCATAGTGACCATCCTTCGCTCTATAATTTAGTTGTCCATTTTGAACTTAGGACCAACTAGGTTGAGTATCCACTATAGAACTTTTCAATTCATGGGCTTTAGTCCCATTCCTCGTGACAACTTCTCCAACAATTCTCTATCCAATGCTTTGGTTGGCGGATCCGCTATGTTATCCTTTGACTTCACGTAGTCAACAGTGATAACACCCGTTGTGAGGAGTTGTTTAATGGTGTTATGTCTACGACGAACGTGTCTAGACTTACCATTTTATATGTTGCTCTGTACCCTTCCAATTGCCGCTTGACAATCGCAATGTATGCATATCGGAGGGACAGGCTTTTCCCAACTTGGAATATCCTTGAGAAAATGGCGTAACCATTCAGCCTCTTCAGTGCACTTATCCAAGGCTATTAGCTCAGACTCCATCGTGGATCTAGCTATTAACCTTTGTTTTGAGGATTTCCATGACACGGCTGCACCTCCCACAGTGAAAACATATCCACTTGTGGACTTTGAGTCCTTAATGTCAGATATCCAATTAGCGTCGCTATACCCTTCAAGTACAGTTGGATATCTTCCATAGCGCAGTCCAAGGTTTTGTGTTTTACGTAAGTACCTCAAAACCCTTACTATTGCCTTCGAGTGTTCATCACTGGGGTTACTAGTATATCTACTTAGTTTGCTAACCACAAAGGCAATATCAGGCCTGGTACAACTCATTAGATACATCAAACTTCCAATAATCCTAGCATATTCTACTTGAGAAATACACTCTCCACGATTTTTGGTAAGGTGTACGTTTTTATCTAATGGAGTCCTTGCCTCTTGATAATCATCCTTATTAAATTTCGTAAGGATTTTATCAACGTAATGGGATTGGCTTAGCGTTGGACCGTCAGGTCCCCTAATTATTTTAATCTCAAGGACTAAATCGGCCAGCCCCATATCCTTCATGTCAAATTTAGAGTTTAACATGCTTTTGGTAGAATTAATCATTAGATTATTGCTACCCACGATGAATATATCATCCACGTATAAACATAAAATGACATAGCCGTCTACCATGATTTTCACATAGACGCATTAGTCACTTTCGTTTATTTTAAACCCATTAATTAACATTGCATGATCGAACTTTCGTGCCACTGTTTAGGGGCTTGTTTTAATCCATACAATGATTTAATTAATTTACACACTTTACTTTCTTGTCCAGGAACACGAAAGCTCTCGGGCTGTTCCATATAGATTTCTTCGTTTATATCGCCATTTAGAAAAGCGGTTTTTACGTCCATTTGATGAACTTCCAATTTCCGCAATGCGGCAATTGTTAGTATCATCCTAATGGAATTTATTCTCGTCACAGGAGAATATGTGTCAAAGTAATCATGGCCCTCACGTTGCTTGTATTCCTTGATTACAAGTCTGGCCTTGTACTTATCGATGGAACCGTGAGGTTTCATTTTCCGTTTAAAAATCCACTTGGATCCCAAAGGTTTATTTCCCGGAGGAAGATCAACCAATTCTCACGTGTGATTTTTTAGGATAGAATCCACCTCACATTTGATGGCTTCTTTCCACATAGGACCTTCGGTAGACGTCACAGCTTCCGTATAAGTCTGTGGCTCATTTTCTACCAAACATGTTAGAAAATCCGGTTCATTTTCTACCATACATGTTAGAATATCCGAGTCAAATTCTACCAGGCAGGTGAGAAAATCCGGTCCGAAGGATTTTTCAACTCTAGCACGTTTGCTACGTCGGGGTTCGAGTTCTTCTTCAGAGCCCTCGCTAGTATTTTCCATAGCTAGTTCAAATGTTCGTTTTGACGTGCTCGGTCCTTCGTTGGACTTGCATGGAAATACGTCTTCAAAGAATGATGCATTCCTTGATTCAATTATTGTGTTTTTATGTACATCCGGAATATTCGAATCGTACACTAAAAACCGATAAGTACTACTATTTTGTGCATATCCAATAAAAATACAATCCATCGTTTTTGGACCTATTTTTATTTTCTTAGGTGTTGGTACAAGCACTTTTGCAAGACACCCCCACACTTTTAAATATTGATAGGAAGACCGTCTGCCTTTCCACAACTCGTACGGAGTTTTATCATATTTTTTCCGGGGAACCTTATTTAAAAGGTAATTGCTTGACAAGACTGCTTTGCCCCACATATTTTGTGGTAGGCCCGACCTTACTAGCATCGCAATCATCATATCTTTCAATGTGCGATTCTTTCGTTCGGCAACACTGTTTAATTGAGGTAAATAGGGTGTGGTACGTTCATGTACTATACCCACGCTCGCGCAAAAGTCACCAATTGGTGCTTCATACTCACAACCTCGATCACTTCTAATCATTTTAATCCGTCGATTAAGTTGGTTTTCCACTTCATTCTTATAAAGAATGAATTTATCGATTGCTTCGTGTTTATTTTTTAATAAATAAACATAGCTATAGCGAGTGCTATCATCGATAAAAGTAATAAAATATTTATTACCGCCACGTGTTTGTATTGATTTAAAATCACAAACGTCACTATGAATTAATTCAAGTGGTCCTGTTTTTCTTTCAACCGATTTGAAAGACGTTTTCGTTAGTTTTGCCTCTACACAAACTTCACATTTGTGCTTCACATCAATTGTGAATTTAGGAATGTGTTCCATGTTAATTAATCTACGTATAGAATTAAAATTAACATGTCCTAGTCTACCATGCCACACATTGGAAGACTCGAGCAAGTAAGCAGAAGGGATTTTATTATTATTATTAATAATAGTCATTACATTGAGCTTAAATAGCCCATCACATGTATACCCTTTGCCCACATACATTCCCGATTTAGACAAAACCAATTTGTCCGACTCAAAGACCATGCGGAAGCCATGCTTGTTCAACAGTGAGCCGAAGATCTGGCTTTTGCGTATCTCCGGAACGAACAGCACTTGGTTTAGAGTCAGCTCCTTGCCCGAAGTCATCTTCAGGACCACCTTGCCCACGCCTTCCACCGCGGATTGAGCCGAGTTTCCCATCCACACATTCTCACCATTTGATGGCTCAAAAGTAGTGAATAACTCCCAGTTTGAGCAAATATATCAGGTAGCACCGGTCTCCACGAACCACTCCTTGGAATTGGATCCAACGAGGATGACCTCGGTCACCACGGCCGCAAGGATAATGTCTTCATCCTTTTGCCCACCTTGCACCAAGTTGACTTGAGAGTCCCTCTTCTTCTTGGGTGCCTTGCAATCCGCGGACTTGTGTCCGTTTTTATTGTAATTGAAGCATTTTCCGTTGAACTTTATCTTGGAAACGCCTCCCTTGGGACCGAGCTTACTCTTCCCATTATTTTTGGTTTTGGAGGCCTTTGCATGCTCCACCACGTTTGCCTTGGCGCTGGTAACGATTGGGAGTTTCTCATCGTTCTTCCGGTTATCCTCTTCAATCCGCAGACAAAGGATCAACTGCTCCAAGTTCATTTCCTTTCGCTTATGCTTAAGGTAGTTCTTGAAATCCTTCCAAGCCAGCGGCAATAAATGGATAATTGACGTCACTTGGAAAGACTTACTAACCATCATTCCTTCATCTCGAATTTCGTTGAAAATCATTTGCATCTCCTCAACTTGAGACCATCTTCGAATCCACCATTTTAAAGTCAAGGAATCGGCCGACAACAAATTTCTTTGCACCGGCATCCTCGCTTTTATATTTGTGGTCCAAAGTATTCCATAGCTCCTTAGTTGTAGCTAATTTGCTATAAACGTCGTACAAAGCATCATGCAGCCTGTTCAACGCGTAGTTTCGGCAAAGGAAGTCAGAATGCTTCCATACCTCAACCGCATTGAGAGATTGCGTATCCACCTCACCTCCGATTACGACCGGCGCATCCTCGATCAAGAACCTCGCAAGACCGAGAGTAGTGAGATAGAAAAGCATCTTTTGTTGCCACCTCTTGAAGTTTAACCCATTGAATTTCTCAGGTTTCTCCACAGAGTTGCTTGGCACGGTAACCATAGGGATTGCCCCTTGGTTGCCCAAAGTAGATGCTCCGCGTTGTGAACTATTGTTCACCGGAGCTCCACTTTCAGAGTGAGTGTCGTTTGGCACGTTCTGCCCACCAACATTCCAATTTCTTTTGAAACCATTTTAACGTTTTCTTACGTTTTCCGAAAACACAAAAAAAATTAAGTTCGTTCACAAAAGTGACAAACTACGATTTAAGGATTGTTTACCGCAGTAGAACAGTCATCGAATACGTTTTAAGATTGTTGGGTGTGTCTCGGAAAAATGAAGAAATATTAATTAATAAAATAATTAATTAATTAAAATAGGCAAAGAAAAACAGAAAAAGAGATGGGACGGAGTTTAGCCAGAGCTCGTGCTACGTACGATGTCCTTAAAACGTATTCTTCGTCTCCCACGGTGCTAGGAGCGTTGCAACGACCGTTTCCCATGATACGGTGTCTAACGAACTAACGTTTGAGCACACAAACGAAAGTCCCGGCAAACTGGAACAAAGAAGAACACTCAAGAATTTTTCGGAGTAGCTGGAGGTGTTTTTTAGAGCTCAAAATACGTGCAGATAGTGTATGATTGCCTGTGTTGTTGCAAAGCACCTGCCAGCTATTTATAGGAGGATTTGTTGTGTGTTAAATGGTGTGTTAATGGACCTTAACGTTGGACATCAATGACCAATCCGTTGGGCATTTAATCATCCATAAACTGTCCATTTAACGCAGCATTAAAAGAGAAGAACGTTGGGCATTTATTTTTGTAACGGACCAGAAGCCTTCTGGTGCGAACAGAATACCTCGTGGCCTTCTGGTGCGAACAGAACTGCCTCGTGGCCTTCTTGTGCGAACAGAACTCCCCACCAGAGTTGCTCTCTGGTCTTGTGTTCGCGGGCCACCAGATCGTGCAGATAGTGTATGATTCCCTGTGTTGTTGCAAAGCACCTGCCAGCTATTTATAGGGGGGTTTGTTGTGTGTTAAATGGTGTGTTAATGGACCTGAACATTGGACATCAATGACCAGTCCGTTGGGCATTGAATCATCCATAAACTGTCCATTTAACGCAGCATTAAAAGAGAAGAACGTTGGGCATTTATTTTTGTAACGGACCAGAAGCCTTCTGGTGCGAACAGAATACCTCGTGACCTTCTACTGCGAACAGAACTACCCCGTGGCCTTCTGGTGCGAACAGAACTCCCCACCAGAGTTGCTCTATGGTCTTGTGTTCGCGGGCCACCAGAACACCCTTGTGGTTTTCTGTTCGGAAAACTGAAACCGTAACGGGAAGAAGCAAAAATAATATTTTTGAATACATTCATGTCCGCAGGTCGCCCGCGCACACGAATCGCGGTTTTTCTTCTCCGTTTTTGGGATTTGATCGGCACCCGCCTGCGCGCGAAGAGAGCCTTTCCCCTAAGGAATCTTAACTCCTTTTAGGTGGGTTCCCTTTATAAAGGGGTGAAAATCCGATGGGTTTTTCGGTGTGGGATAAATCACACTAGAAAACCCATCATTTTCCGAGTTTTTCCATTTTAACGAGTGAACTTCGAGAATCAATTTCTCATTCACCTGTTATCCGTTTTGAGTGTACCACATATCTAATTGTAGCCCTTAACAAGAACAATCCGAAACCACTTTGACCCGACTCAAATCGAAAGTGGGCCCCACTCAAAAAAATTCTCCAAAATGACCATTTAATGCAATTTATTAACACTTTTTCCAACATCCGGGACCGGGTGTAGACCCGAACCGAGGGGGAAGGGCGGGGCGGGCTCGGTTCCGGCAAAAGGTGACCGGGCCCGGATCCGGGTCAAACAGTCATATTTTTTTTTAAAAAAAAATGGACTTTTGGGCCACAAATAGCCGTTGGGGGTGGGCTGGGGACTACCCAAACGGCTATATAGCCGTTGAGTGGGCTGGCAGGGGGGTCTGGGCGGTATGGGGGAGGGGGTGGGGGTGGGGTAAAAAATATATAAATACTCCTGATCTTAAACATTTTATCATATCTCTTCCTAAATCCTACACTCTACTCTCTAATTATTATCTTCATATTCATCTTCTCAAATTCTCTTATTCTCCAATAGATTATATATCTACTTATATTATTTATCTACTTATAAATACATATATTTATATTACTTATATTTCTTATCTACTTATATATTAATTATCTACTTATAAATACATATATTATATTACTTATATTACATTTTTAAGATGGAAGGTGGTAGATATTCTGTTGATATGGGTAACCTCGACCGCAACCGAAGGAACGAGCTTGCGAGGAAGAGATCCTGCAAAGGTAAATCACATATCGGCTCTTCATCTCAAAGCCGAGATGATTTTGATACGGGTTACGCAAGGAGGGATGAGGATGCGATGACCGTCGAACAACTAGAACAAGAATTGCATCGACATAATAGCCGCTTTTTCCAAGACCAGTCGAGGACCATTGACGAAGAAGAGCTCGAGGACGACGATGTGGAGGAAGTAATTCCGGAGTGCCACGAGCCCACGATGACGACGCGGAGGAGGGTGGCGGCAGCCACGACGCCGACGAGCCTGCCTCATCCCAAACCGGTACGAAAAAATATTATGAAGGAAAAGTTTTAAAAATATTATTCACATATTCCGCATATTTATGGTATTGCATTTGTTCTCGATCCTCATTTTAGACTTTGTTCTTTAGAAGATTGTTTGAATTATTATTATGCTGCTTTTTTGGTCCAATGCCAATGTATGACGAGAACTCAATTGATCCAAAAAAAGAATACAACGAGGTTAGTGATATATTTTATGCATTATTTAACGAGTTTCATGCACAATATGGCAACACGCCCCCTCCCCCGACACAAACATCTTCATCTAAAGGAAAATCAATTTTGAAATCTACATTTGCCAATCCTATTAAAAAACGAAAACAACTCCCGCTACTCAACAAAGCACAATTAATGAGATTTCTTTGTATTTAACATATGATGTTGATTTTGAAGAAGATAGTGATTTTGACGTTTCTGAACTGGTGAAAGGGAAAAGAAAGAATGTTCCCGGTTTTAGCAAAGATGGCTAAGCAAGTGTTGGTTTCAACAGTTGTCGTGGAACAAGAATTTAGTTCGGCCGGCAATGTCCTAATGCAATGTAGAACGAGGTTGAGCGCAGAATCTCTTGAGACGCTTATATGCTACCACGATTGGTTGAAGGCGGCCCGTAGAGCTCAAGAAATTGGCATCACCCCATCCCAACACTTTATGGATGAATCAACAACCGAGGGTGGCTCTACCTACGCCGGAGATTCCGATTGATTAGTATTTCATGTTTTAGTGTTTCATTTTTTTCTCCATTGTCAAATGTAGTTCCTATTTCATTTCAAATAAATGCACTTGAAGTTTGTTTTTAAATAAAATTTATACTGTTTAAATAAAAATTAATTAATTTTAACCGGTCCAGCCCGACCCGGCGGGTGGTCCGACCCGTGACCCGGGCGGGTGGCCCGGCCCGAACCGGAACCGTCCACATCTCGGGTTGGTCCCGGGACCATCATTTACAAATCGGCGGCACGACCAGGCCTAGGCCCGGCACGAGTCCAAGTCTACTGGCTGATAAGCAGAAAAAAGGGTCACCAAACGGACTCCTGGTGTGCAAACGAGCGTGTAAACTGACATGTACAAATAGCATTTATGTACATAGCATTTCATTTTTATTTATTTCATTTGCATTAGTAGACTGCCATATAAGGTAAAATTTGAAAAAATAACTTTGATCGAGCATTTTTAGAGGACAGTATGACACATATATCTTTGTGTAATTTCTAGTTTGATATCCCAAAACAGGGATGGATCCGGGCCGGTCCGGTTCCGATTCCAGGCCGGGTGGGCTTTTTTTGCAAATCCTTGGGCCCGGAACCGGCCTGGGTTGATACCGGGTCCGGGCCGGGCCAGGCCCGGTTCAATGTCTATTTATTTTTTTTTTGCTTTCTTGTTATCCCTTGACCCCCCCCCCCCCTCACCCCCACCCCCAAACCTCCCCAAAACACCCAGTCCTACCCTAGGAAAAGAAAAAAAAAATTGAAAAAAAAAATTGACCCGGGTCCAGCCCGAACCGCCCGGTCCGGTTCGCCCAAAACTGGGCCCGAGCCCAGCCCGCCCGACCCGCCCAAACAGGCTAAAAGCCCGGAACCGGCCAAGCGGTCCCAGGCCGGTCCGGGCCCGCACAGTAGCGGGCTGGCCCGGTTTAGTCCATCCCTATCCCAAAATTAATGAGTTCAATCATCAAAAAATACTTCCTTTCACACAGTATAATACCATCCTTGGAATCGCACAAGGATTCATATACTTTGAGCCCTGTTAATATCTCCTGTTTTGATTTTGAGTGAGATTATTGAAGTGAAAAGTATTCTTGAAAGTCATTAAGAGAAAAAGGAACCATATGAGTCACATAGTCCTTGATCAATTTATTTAGAACGGATGAAATAAGAAAATTAAATTTATTTTAGGATGGGAGAGTTGTCAATATATTAGAGTCATGAAAAATAAGAAAGAAACAACCAAACCAACTTAAAGAGAAATACAAAAACAGGAGTAGCATGGAAAAGAAGGAAAAAAACACGGCGCTTCAGACGCCTGCCACCCCTATATGGCTTCTAGAGCTTGAAGAACGTCAGCCTTCAAGTCTTCATAGTCCTCCACTCCAAAGCTGAACCTAACCAAGCTGTCCATTATCCCATGTTTGGCCCTTTGTGCTGGGGAAAGATCCCTATTTCCAATTCCATTGACCAAAAATAAATAACTGTATATTTATATATGTGTTTAAATATGTAGAATTTGGATCAAATGATAAAACGGTCTAAACAGAGAAATGTGTGCGTCTGATTTGAGAATTCTGTATTACGTGAATTGTGAAATAGAAATGTGCACTAAAATGAATTAGAAAATGTGGTGGCATTTTTGTAAATAAATGAACTTTTTCTACCAATTTGAAATGTGCATCGCTTTAGGCCTACCTCATTTCTCAAAGAAAACCGGTGGGCGTAGCTCAACTGGTAGCAAGGGAGTGCCACAAGGGTTAGGTTTCGAGTTCGAATCCAGGCAACTGCGATGAGAGGTTACTATGCTAAAAATGCATAGGGCCTTTGCAAGTACCGGAGACAAAGTCACACTCTCTATCTGTCAGATTGAGATTATAGTCCAATTTACATCCTCCCAACCTACTGTCCGGTCGGGGTTGAGGGGCCCTCAGGGATGGGTGTCATCCTTTTTTTTCCTTTCTCACAGAAAGACCTATTCTCACTGAAACCGGACCATAAATAATGTAGATACCACTTCAGCTGTAAACCATGAACACCCCCTTCCTTTAACTCCTTGAGAATGCAATATGAATTTGTTGGTTTGTATTTCTATATTTTATATGTATAATTTGACATGACTTAGGGAGTTGCAACATCACTCTTAACATAATTACAAGTCTACAAAAGCATGTTTATATGAATTGTATGGGCCATATATCATGCAATAGGGTTGAAGATAAATACCAGTAGGTCATAATAGCAGGCTGATCCACAATACTCTCAACACCTCCAAAGGATGGAGCATTGTATGGAATTTTAAGGGCATCCATAAACTTTGCTGTGGTCATGAGGTCCCCATCAATCTAATCATGTAAGTTGACATACTTATTAGTTTTAAATTGTACTGTCTAATATGTACAGCAAATCATATAATTCAGATATATAAAAAAATATTGAACAAATGGTTGTGAAAAGTACATACAGACCTCAAAACTCACAACACCACCAAACCCACTCATTTGTCTCTTCGCAATATGATGTTCTGGATGGCTTGGCAAGCCTGGATAAAGCACACGTCTCACCTGCAATATCAAACTGGCCCTTAAAACAAGGACTTAAGAAGGAACAATATAAAAAAGTTTATCGTGAAGTTACAAAAATAGACTATCGAATAATGTAATGCAAAACCTTAGGATGGGCCTCTAAAACTTCAGCCATCCTCAACGCTGTTGAGTTTTGTTGCTGAACACGAAGGTGCAATGTCTTCATCCCTCGGATGATAAGGTATGCAGCATTCTAATAAAGTAAGGTTAAGGAAAACTAATATTATGAACTCAGTTACATACGGAGTATAATTCAAGCGCATATACCGAAAATGTAGGAAACTCTTTCACAATACACTTCACAGTTTCAAAATTAAACATTTAGAACTTAAATACTCAATTGAGAGTATGTTTTGGATGTGATTGGGATATTATTGCAGACTCATGTTTGACAGAAACTCGAGAGATTTAACATTGTTAAAGGCTTAAGCAATACAGCTTGGAATGTATGATATTATTGATGATGTTCAACCCCTATATATACTGCTTATAAAAGTCTTGGTGAACGAAGTACATATGGTCCTACTCTACTACAATATTGCTACCAGAAATAGTAACTAAATAGATATGAATACTAATAGGAAACTGGGAACTTTTCCTTAAATATTAAAGCAAGATTTCAGTACTCATTGGATTTGTTTAGGGAATGAATATCACTAGCGGCTAGCGCCGTTACAAACTATTTACTGTCCAGTTGCATGATGGTATTTGGGTTACTACTTCTCCATGTCCAGGTGACCCTTGGTAAATGTGTTGGTAAAATTTACTCCGTATTTTCTAACTAGAAAATTGACATTTTTGTCCAATGAGTATTTGATTAGTAATATATTAGGAATTTTCCAGCAATCTGCTATTAATATATTTACTAATATACTCCGTATTACATTAGGCTCATATCAGCACACTCACTGGATTGAGAACACCACCCAGGGTTATATGTAGGTCATCGATTAATGAAATCAACTTTTTAGGTCCACTGATGCATCCTGCAAGGACCTGCAACAAGAAATTCATTGTAAAACCAAAAAAATGAACGCCCCATTGATTCAACCCTAGTCAGCTAATAATAGAAGGGATGGGTGGTAACTATAAATACTAGTTGACATCAGCATACATCATTATGCCCCGCAAGGTATTTGGTTGCAGATTGGATGACAATGTCAGCCCCAAGAGATAAGGCTTTTTGGTTGATAGGAGTGGATAAGGTGCCATCTATGCAAACCAATGCACCTTTCTCATGGCAAAGCTTTGATACCAACTCTATGTCAACACATCTTAGTAATGGATTCGTAGGTGACTCTGTGAAGAAAAGGCTCACCTGCATAGAGGAACTGCGCCGATCAATGAACAAGGACAATTAAAATGATCCAAACACTTTCTAAGCAAGTTAAAAAGCAAGGTGATGATATTATTCCCAACACTGACTTTGTTTTCATTTAATGCAGACTCCAGACCATCCATATCAGAAGGGTCAATTACTGTGGCCTGTATTCAGAAAAAAAACGACATGCTTTAGAATATTAAGGGCTGGTTTAGTAGGAGTTTTTGTCAGAAATGATGGTTAATTCTGCTGAACTTACTGAAAGTAAAAATGTTTGGTAACATCAATTTTAGCTATAAGAGCAAATCAAAAGCTACTTACTCATCTGATAAGCGTAGGAAGCCAGAATTAGCTACCAAACACAGCCTAAAGATGAGCAAAACATTACTAGAAAATATCAAGTTGTGGTAAATACATGTTGTTTAATGTACTGTTTATACCATTTGTGGTAAAAAAAAAAAGGGAAAACCCGCAAAATGGTTGGAGATGGAGTAACTGAGTAGTGAGTAAGTAGCTGTTTCTTACTGTGATACCCATTTTAGGAAGTATAGTCTCAATGAAGATCCTAATCTGTTTATAGCAATCAGTGGTTGTGACAATATGTCCCCCGGCAGGGACCAAAGCTAACAACATCAAAGTACTAGCAGCCATTCCAGTTGCCACTAACAGTGTGGATTCTGCCCCTTCCAGTGCACTGTTAGTTCCGGTGAACAATGAACTAAATTATCTTAAAATCTCTTATTTGTATTCACATTAATAATCACCATTTAGAAAAAGATGGAACTGACCTTAGCTTTTCTTCTGCAACAGCAGTAGTTGGGTTCCCCAAGCGCCCATATTCAAAGCTTGAACGTCTATTCTCCTGTAAATTCAGCAGCACAAAATCACTAATTGGAACAAACCAGAGTTACCATAATAAATACCACAGAAACAATTACTTTGAAATCAATTAGTTCAGAGGTGTTGTTGAAGAAATAAGCAGATGTGTTAACAACTGGAGTAGTTATTCCATCAGTGACAATGCCGCGCCCTAATCGTTCCCCTGCACAAACCACGGATATATATAGGCTCAGAACTTTGTCACTCGAAATCCATCCAAATTCCACATGCATGCTTTGAGCAATACTTTCTTCTAACATTAAGGCTCCACTCTTAGATTTAACTTCATAAGACATGTCATTAGTATTCATTTGTCATCTTACTCGAAAAATTTGCTGATTCATTTATTGAAATCATTGGCAATTGAAGATTTAAATTTCATATCGTGTGTGTTTCCTACCTCTCTTAGCTAGACAATCCATGTGAATTTAATAACTTTTGGTGGAAGGAACAAGATGGGTCCTAATATTGTCTTATACTCTAAACCTATATCATGAATTCTACTTAAGTACTACGTATAGCATGATGAACTTTTATCACAGATTTCAAACATTTGATTTTTTTGTGTAACAAAGCCTAAGCATTATGAGAATAAAGTGACCTTGATTGATCATACCAAATGTTTTTCCTTGGTGTAAATGCATAAGCACAAAGAAAATAAAGTGACCTTAATTGATCATACAAAATGTTTTTCCCTTTCAGAAACTTGGGTAGCTAACAATCTCAGAGAATTGAATCAAATAACAATAATCAAACAAAACGGACACTAACAATCAAATCATTCAAATCTATCCGGCCCCCAAAAAATCAAAAGTTCAATTTATTGAAAGTCTTAAAGACTAATTTAATATATAATTCATAATTTCAGTCCTGTAATTTTTAGTGCATGCATCATAATTTCATATACAATTGAAGAATAGAGAATAATTTTAAATACAAAAGATATCCTGTTAATGGTCAAATATTATACATACTACGTATGAAATTACCATTAGCATGCTACCTCGAAACAATGAAGTGGATATCAACCTATTACAAAATGAAGCTTGATTTTGCCTCAATAGATTTTCGTTGTTTGATTTGAATGCTCGATAAACACGTTGGAATGTAGAAGTTTAGACTATGCTCGTTAATAGATTAATGTTCGGTTTATTCAATAAATACTCGAATCTTTAATAATCATCAATAAATTTATAAAATTGCCCTAAGAATGTTTATAAGTGAATATATGATTTATATAATTTATTCCTATAATTTATAAGTGGACCACAGGCTTGAGTACGGATGGAACAAATCATCACTATGCTTGAACTCAGCGTGAATAGCTATTCGAACTCAAATTCTAGTCAGCTTTCGAGTTCGAAGCTCGATAAGCTCGGGTCATTCAATTAGATTCGAAATCAAGATAAAACTTGAGTAGTTCAAAATATATTTGGTTCGTTAACATATAAGTTAAACCTTGTATGTGTAGTAGCAGCTAAGTCCATCCACCTATCATTTCTGAAATATTTTTACTTTTGTAAACTTGTTAGCAAACTTACCGGCATGAATCGCAATGCTGCTGTCTGAACTCAGAAAAGAAGCGTATTTCACATGGGGCAGATTCTGGGTCTTCGCCTCCACCTCCTCAGGAGGGGAAGTAGAGACGGCGGCATCGAGTGGCTCAGCCGCCGGAGGTAGGACAGAGGTGGCTTTGCTGTTGGTCAAAGAAGCCATGATTGGAGAGAATACAGAGAAAAACAAACGAAATAGAGAGAAAATAATGAAAGAAAAAGTGATGAAGCATAGAGTGCGAAGGGATGGGATTTTATACGCTATAGGCAGCCTATACCACTTCACAATTTTTTCACTAGAATAAATAGAAATTACTCAAATAGGACTAAAACTATGACAAAAATTCAAAATAAGATTTACTATGTTTTTCTTTTCAAAATATGACCATATTAATCCTATCGTAAACATACCTATTTTTTCATTTCATTCTTACCCTTCCTTTAAATATGAGTTAATTAAATGTTTAATTCATAATAAATTCAAAAAAAAATCAAAAAATCGTGGAAAAATAATTAAAAAAATTATAAAATATTTATAAAATAAAAAATTAAAAAAAAAATAAATTAATAAAAAATAGTAAATCTCCATAAAAAATTTAAAAAAAATGGATGTCTTTCCCACCGTTTGTACTACCTCCCTGCACCATCATATCCAGCCGGTGAAAAAAATGTCATTTTTTCTAAAAGCTGTCATTTTTTTTGAAAATACCAAAAACATGCCATATTTCTTTTTGATAATGTCAACATTTTCATTATTTTCTACCATAAATATGACATTCGTAATGAACTTGACATTTTTTCTTTTTGGTGACTGGAGGTGGTGGTGCAGAGGCGGCAGGGGCGACGTTGAATTTTATTTTATTTGTTTGAGTTTTTTATTTTAATTTTTTTTTAAATAAATAAATATATTATTGAAATATTTTTATTATTTTTTAGTATTTTTTACGAGTTTTTATTATTTTTTATTGTGAATTAAAATATTTTAATAGTTATAAGGGTATATTTATCTAAGACACACATAATTAGTCTTATGAAAACATAGTTTATTTTTTGGTCATATTTGTGCAAAGTGACTAAGTGAGTGACTTTAGTCTGTTTTGATATTTAACCCTAAAATAAATTAAGGCTGTGAATTTATTTGAGCTGCCGATTCCCACCACGCAGCACGTGAGTAGGTATTTAGGGGGAGAATCGTTGGGGAATTTGTTGTCACAATCACAGGAGTCATCATATATAATCATGATTCGCGAATAAATTAAAGCTCCATTGATGCGCATTCGGTCGGCCACTGTGGAGGCTCCATTCGTCAATACAGATTCCCTTTTTAATCATGATATAAATAGTCCTCATTGGAAGCGTATATCATACAACCAGCGGGACACCGTACACTCCATGACAATTTTGTAATTTTAGTGAAAATCATGGTTTATTTTTAATGAATATTTATGCAATTCTGATGAACATTGAATCTGTTCTTTTGAGTATTAGGAGTCTATCAATGAGTATTAGTGATCTATGTTTCATATCTTTTAATTCAGTTTCTTTTTATTATTCTTTCGTTTATAAAAAAATTCTTAAATTATGTTTATAATCAATTTCAATTAATTTCAAGATGTAAATATAATGTAGTATGATATGTTTGAAATGTGAAACATTTTAAAATGAGCATAAAACAGTATCAAATAAGCATACATAACTTACGAAATGAGTATGAAAAAATTCAAAAGCTCATTTGTATATGCTCATTCATTTTGGGTGTTATACTCATTTGAGTTTAACATAAAACTCTTTTCCAATGTGCTCAATATTAATTTGTGTGTGTTCATTTCTTTTAGGCGTACACTCATTTGAGTTTAATATAAAACTCATTTGAGATCAATAGTAGTAAGGATTCCTCACCAATCAATAGCAACGTATACTCCCTTTGTCTTCGAAAATCATAAGCTCAAACAATAAAACTGTGTGAGAAAAAGAGAAAAGAGTGGAAAGAAAGACAGAGGAGGAGAGGTAACTAAGCCGACGCCGTTGTGTTTGTGTCGGGGGAGAAGGGGCGAGTGGTGAGAGGCGGCGACTAGCAGCGAGCTGAAGGAGAAGGGTGTGAATGTCAGCGACAGTTAGCTTGATGCGAAATCAGTTTGAAGAATCAAGCTAAATCGGAGAAGTCTTGTGCGAAACTTTGTGCGAAGCCGGAACGTAGAAGCCTGGTGCGAAGGCCAGGCTGAAGAAGCGAAGCAACCAAGAAAAGACTGGTTGTACTGTGCGCACGGTACAGTCGACTGTAAGATAGTATTTGCGGTCAACATTAGTACCCCGTAAATTAGAAGTGAAAAAGGGGGGTTTGAGGAAATGGTACGAACAAAAGAAAATTTATTTTAAAATTTTCTAAAAAGTGTTAGATGTACACAAAGGCTTACACTTTATTTATACGTTTATCGGTCACATATAATTGGTGCATTGACATGTAGAACTGTTTTGATTGTATCTTCTCAAAGACATTAGTTTTCGTGTCAAAGTACATCAAACATCATCTGATATGATAGGCACAAAAGTCAATGCTCACATGCAAACAATGCATATATCCATAAACAATATTTATTTGTGCATAGACAATAATCGTTTGTGCACAAACTTTAACCATATTTGTTCTAAATATGAATTTTGGATAGATTTCATCACATAAACAATAGTTGTATTGCTCAAATATGATCAATTTTATTTGTTATGTGATCAATTTTAAGTGTTCATGGGAATAAAATGTGTAATTGTCCGTGTGCCCACAAATGAAGGTGTACTTGTCAATGTGACTAATTTACATGTAAAAAGACAGAAAGAGAAAATTAAGATGAGTTTTGTGCAAGTAATAAAGAAAATGGATATGAAAAAGTAGAAATGAAGAGGATCAAGAAGAGGAGAGCAATGTGACGAAGAGAAGAAAATGATTCTATCTCTAATTGAGAATGGGTATAGAGAAGGAAAAGGAAAACGAGGATACATGGAGAAGATGGGATATGTAAATGTGATGTGTAAGAAAGTGTTATAAAACAAAGATGATGTGTCATCTACTCCATGAGTAGTCGGCGAGTACTCACAACTCAGGGTGTGACCGTTCAATTTAGCAATCTAAATCGCCCCATCCCAAGTTTCCAAGTTCTTGGCGAGTACTCGACAAGTTTCTTGACTCGGGGAACATCTTAATTCGGCGAGTTTAAGGATGGACGTAGCACTTGAGATTAATTTAAAAAAATTAATAGTACTACTCATACCAACAAGATACTTCTCCTTTAATTTTAAGAAAGCTCATTACCTAAGAACTTCAAGTAAGCGTGCCTGCTCGAGAGTAGTTTTGGGATGGGTGACCCCTGGAAAGTTTCTCAGGGCACGCACAAGTAAGGACAAAGTGCGCGTAAAAGGCTTGTCGAGGTTTGTGAGGACAGTACTTGAAATCCCAAGTAACTACCTCAAGTCCAACGATGTCGGGGTGTTACAGGTATCACAGCAACCCTGCGACAGTGTGTTGATCCGTTGGATATCGGGTGAGCACTTAGCAGAGGAAGATTTCTCAGGACAAAGTGCGCGTTAAAAAAGGGTCGGCATCTAGACCGTGGGACCAGTTTTCCGGTAAAGGTACCGGCCCGGTACCCTGACCATGGGGGAAAAGGGTCGGGCTTCGAGTTTTATTTTCTGAGCCTGGTCCGGGCCTAGCGGCTACTATTTAGAAAAAATGGGTGGGGTGGGGTTGGGCGGTCTGGCGGGGTGGGGGATAAAAAAACCTATAAATACACCTAGTTTTAAAATATTTTTCTAACACCTATTCTCCAACTCTTCAGACTCTCCAATCATCTTCGAGCCCATTTGGTGACTCTGTTTTTCGGCTTATTAGGCGTATCAGCCAACTTTTGAATCAAATACATAACTTTTGATTTTGCGCGCTGAATACTGTAATAATAAGGAAAAGTAAGGTTGAAGTTACTTTTCTGACTGTGTTGGTTGAAGTTACTGTAGATGACTATTTTAGATATTTTTCATATAATTTTTTCTTTATTTTATTAATAAAATATATTTTTAATATAATTTTTTCATAAATCAGCAGAATCAGGCAATACAGCCACTTCAGCCAGAACTTCATAAATTTTAGCAGAATCAGCCGATTTCGGTGTTACTAAACGAGCTCTTCATCTTCATCTTCTCCAATTCTCTTGCACAATTCTATGATCTTATACTCCCTCTGTCCCCCAATTAAGTTCCTAGATGAATTTCACACATATTAAGAAAATAAATTTACAAGGGGTAAATTTTACTGTTTTGACACTGTTTTGGCACTGTTGACGCTGTTTTGCACTGTTTTGATGTAGATAATTTGTCAAATAAGGAAATGTAGGGAAGTGTGAACTTAATTTTGGGACATTCCAAAAAGGAAAGTGGGAACTTAATTTGGGGACGGAGGGAGTATTTACTTATATTAATATATATGTATTAAACTAGTATCTATTTAAATTAGTTACCGCCTCTGTGCCATTGGACTTTGCCAACTTTCTATTTTTTGTTGTCCCAAAAAACTTTGCCACTTTCATATTAACGAAACTAATGCATGGTTCTGCACATTTCTCTCTCCTCTGCACAAATATCAACCACACGGTTTTTATTATTCTTATTTCTCACCTACTTTGCACTTGGCAAAGTCCACCGGGGCGGAGGTAGTATTTATTATATCTACTTATATACCCCGTACTTATTATTATCTACTTGTATTTACATATATTTTATCAAAGATGACGAAGCAAGTGATATTAGCAGTGCTATCAATGTTGGTGTCAACAATAGACGTTGAACAAGAATTAGCGAAACCGGGAACGTCCTAACGGATTGTTGAACGAGATTGAGCACACAATCTCTCGAAAGACTCATTTGCTTCCACGATTGGTTGAAGGTCCGGCGTAGAACTCAAGAACTTTGCATCATCCCCGACCACCACTTCATGGAAGAAATAACAACCGACGCTGGCGGAGATTCCGATGATTAGCAAATGTATTTAATGATTTAAATTATTCTCAATCCTCAATTGTAGTTCATATTTCATAGATATATATTTACAGAGTAATTTATAATGTCTAACACTAGTTGAATAAACTAGGAATTCAAAAAAATGAAACCCGACCAGGGACCGGCCGGGTACTTAGACCAAAATCGGTACCGAAGCAATCCGGGTCGATACTGGGCTTGAAAATTATAGAACCGAGACTATTCGAGACCGAGATCGAAACCGGATCGGACCGACCCAG